TATCAGTCATCCCCAAACCAATGAGTTCTAGGCTAGCTAGAGCTACTTAGTGAGACCCTGTCTCAAACATAACAACCACCATTGTCAAAATCACTGAATAATGTTCTTTAGAAGAGTAAGTTTTATGGCATGTGAATTGTTTCTCAACAAAGTGTTATTTAAAAAAAAACAGTTTTAGAAAGAAGGGAAGGGTGAGAAAAACAAGAGTTCTCCTATCAGTATTAAACATCAACGCATTGTGCATGTAGTTTATGGATCAAAAGCACACAGGTTGTCAAATTTAAAACACAGAGGTCAGCCAGGCATCGTGGTGCAAACCTATAACAGCAGCTCTTGGAAAATCGGGCCAGGAAGATTTTTGAGTTCAAGGACAGTCTGGACTACACAGTGGGTTCCAGGCTTCACCTGGTTTGCCTGTGACTCTCTCTCAAAGAAGAAAAAGATAAAACATGAAGGAATATTCCAGAAAGAACAGTTTAAAGAAGGCAGCAATTGCTTCTGGGAAGAGAGCAGGGCAAAAGATTGTTCCTTTGGTTATGAACTTCGGAGAGTTTTAGAAACATTCTTGTATGTTTCTAAACAATCTTACACAGTGTATAAGATTGCCTTGAAGGCAGAGCCAGGCGGATCTCTGTGAGTTCGAGGCCAGCCTGGGCTACCAAGTGAGTCCCAGGAAAGGCGCAAAGCTACACAGAGAAACCCTGTCTCGAAAAACCAAAAAAAAAAAAAAAAAAAAAAAGATTGCCTTGATACATTAGCTCACTTGGCAGCGTGCTTGCCCAGCGTGCATAAAGCCCTGGGTTTGACCCCAAATACCACATAAACCGGACCTGGTCTGTTTGCCCCCCCCCCAGGGACGGTGGAAGCAGAGAGATCAGAAGTTCAAGGTCATCCATTTGCTTTGGATAAATGAAGCTGTAACTGAACAAGAAGCTTCCTCCTGGCGGCCGGTGTTCACAATACTGGGGTGTCGGGAAAGAAAAGCCATCAACGGTTGTAACCTTGGAAGCTGCAACAGCCTAACAGACAAGTCGTTTCCACTGGCACGATAGTGGTATGACTGTTTTGGGGGTAACCAACTCCTTTCTGACTGGATTTAAGAGAGGGACTAATGAATGGCAGGTCCTGTCAAAAGCCCGAGACTGGGGGGCAGTCACAAGGCCTATGGAGAACTCACTGCTGATGTTTTTCTAAAAGGACATGGAGTCAAACTTGCTTCAAGTGTTTATGTGTATACCCATAGGGGAATGCTGCTTTCAGCCTGGGTCGGATAAGCTCCTTTGTACCGTGGGTGATGGCTGGTTAGTACTCAGAACTAGTCAAAGTGCCGAGAACTGACTCCTGAATGCCCGTCCCTAAATGAGACTTTTATATGACTCATTCCAAAGCTCAGGGAACCTAGCAGGAGAGGAGACATCAACGCCGTTAACAGGCAAAAGAACGCCATGAAACCCGATCTTCTGCACATGACACAGCCCTTGCATTCACAAACTCACAGAAGCTGTGGATACCTACATGAAACCCGCAAAATATTTTTTTTATTATCAGACATGAAAATAGGAGAATGGGAGATGAGATGGGAAGAGCAAGGGACTCAGAAGAGACGAGAGGGAGACAAGAGATGACAGAGTTTGTAAATATGGTCACAATATATTGAATACATGTATGAACTTGTCAAAATGTAAAATTAAAAAAAAAAAAAAAAAGAACTTCAAGGTCATCCTTGGCTACATAGTGAATTTTCAGCCAGCATGGGCTACATGAGAGCATGTCTCAAATTTTAAAAAAGTAAACTTTCAATTCCTGCTCAAAACTACTAATCCTGGAATAGTAACAACATTCAACTAGTGAGTAGGCCTGGATCCCAGAGCATCAGGCAATGGGCTCCTGATGGTGAGCGATGCTGGCCAAAGACTAAGACAGCAGCTAGAGTTCCTTCCCTGGAACAACACTTTCTATATTCCCCAGGGCAATGCGGCTCTCTTTGATTTCTCCTCCAAAGAGAACTCTGCGGGCCCCTGGGAATCTGAAAGTAGGCAGCATGGAGTCAGCTTAATGTTTTATCTCAAGAACGCTCAGCTAATGATTATTTGAAACCCTGGCTTGTAAAAGCCAGAAAGGCCTGGGCTGTAATAGTACAGATCACGCATGGCTATGTCACGAGTCTTTTCAGATTAATAGATAGATGATAGATGATAGATGATAGATAGATAGATAGATAGATAGATAGATAGATTGATAGATTGATAGAGATAGATGATAGATAGGTGATAGATAGATGATAGATAGATAGATAGATAGATAGATAGATAGATAGATAGATAGATAGATAGGAGATGATAGATAGATGATAGATAGTTATAGATAGACAGACAGACAACAGATTATTTTATGCACATGAATGTTTTGCCTGCATGTATATATGTGTACCACATGTGTACCTGGTACCTGTAGAGGTCAGAAGAGGGCATGGGATCCCCTGGAACTGGAGATATGAGTTATGAGCCATCATATGGGTGGTTTCGAGCCGTGTGGGTGCTGAGAATCAAACCCTGGTCCTCTGCAAATGTAGCAAGTGCTCTAAACCACTGAGCCATCTCTCCAGCCCTGACTTTTCAGATTTCTGAGGCTTTGTCCTTTTATCTGTAAAGGGGAGCTGTTCAAATCCCAGCCGCCACAATGATGGATGAGAGATGAGGTGTGTGAGGGCACAGTAAGCGAGCAGGAGAAGCGTCCCAAGGGCATACGTGTTGGGCTGCAGCTGTCGTTAAGTTTGTAAAGTACATACGCTGTGTCCACAAAGCCTGTGTTCCCCCAGCACCGCATACACCAGACACAGTGAGGCATGCTTACCACCCCAGCACTCGAGAAGTGGAGACAGGAGCATCAGGGAGCACAGCAAATTCAAGTCTAGCCTGAGCTACATGAGAAACCTCTCTGAAAACACAAAAAAAAAAGTCCCAAAAGACATACGTGATCGGTGTGACTATATTATTATTTAAATACTTCATATTTACAAAAGAATTTTGTCCCACACATTAGAACTACTGTTCTAGTCAAGAGGAATTTTCTGAGAATGAATTTAGGTCCCCTCGAGGACCCTCACAATGCCTGACTCGACCACCGTCAACACAGAACGTGAGTAAAGAGAAGGCCCACCTCCTCCAGTTTCTCCACACTGCACCCCGGCTCTCAGGGAGCATGTGCAGACTGGGACAGTGCAAAGCTCTCTCTTTCAGGTCCAAGTTTCTTCAGCACACTCGCCTTGGGCAACCTCTTTGAGCTCTGATTTCTCGTCTGTAAACTTAAGTCACTGTATGGAGGCTGAGAATGTAGCTCAGATAGCAGAGTATTTGCTTAGCATGAGTGAAGCCTGGGGTACAATCCCCAGCAACAGATAGACAGATACACACACACACACACACACACACACACACACACGCACGCATGCACGCACGCACGTGCACACACACACACACACAGATGCGCGCACATAGACACACAGATGCACACCCCTCCCACACATACGCATTATTTTTTTTTTTTTGGTTTTTCGAGACAGGGTTTCTCTGTGTAGCTTTGCGCCTTTCCTGGATCTCGCGCTGTAGACCAGGCTGGCCTCAAACTCACAGAGATCCACCTGACTCTGCCTCCCGAGTGCTGGGATTAAAGGCGTGCGCCACCACCGCCCGGCTATTTTTAAATTTTGAAGACACTGCATAATCATACAAAATTCTGCATCATACCTTGCTTGTAATATGTCCTGAATTAAACGACACATGGTATAAAACAGTATCCACCACATACAAACCATCTGACAGTCATCCTCCCCCACCGTGTGTGTGTGTGTGTGTGTGTGTGTGTGTGTGTGTGTGTGTGTGTGTGTGTGTGTGCTGGGATTGAAGCCAACACCTCATGCCTGTGAGGCAAGTGCCCTGCCATGACCTGTAGCCCGAGCCCTCTTACCTTCTTAATAAGTGACTCTCAGCTGCAGGCTCCCCTTACTTCACAAAGGAGTATCTGAAATACCTTCCCAGGCATTCCTCTGCATTGTTGCCAGCTTTGAGGGATGTTTGATCATCTATCCAGATAATTATCCCTTCTCCAGTAATTATCTAGACAGCCTCCATCCTCATCCGCACGTCAGTCATCTAGAAAAGAACAGTTATAATGTAAATATCCCTTACCTTTGCACTCCCACAAGAATCTTACATTTTCTCCAGATAGGTCCTTTTTAAGTCACAACAGGAGGCTGGAGTCTTTTATTTTACAGTTGGACTAGATCAATCCCAGACATGCTTTTTCTTTTCTTTTTTTCTTCAAGACAGGGTTTCGCTGGGTAGCTCCTGGCTGTCCTGGATCTCACTCTGTAGACCAAGCTGGCCTCGAACTCACAGAGATCTGCCTGCCTCTGCCTCCTGAGTGCTGGGATTAAAGGTGTGCGTCACCACTGCCCGGCTCCCAGGCATGTTTTTAAGCTTTCGTTTCACACATCACGTGTATCTATCAAGTTTATAAAGTGAAAGAACACGTGATATGATATGCAGTGTTCTGTGTCTTACTTTTTTTTAACTCAATGTTGTTCTTGAGATTTACCTAAGTTGGTTCACTTCAGTTTCTGTATAAAAGTCCATTGTGTGAGCTGGGCATGGTGGGCAAGTGCCTGTTACCCCAACTAGTGGGGATGCTGGGGCAGGAAAATACTGAGTTCAAGGCTGTGGTGTGGGATGGAGACACAGTGTAGCTTGAGAGACCACCCCCCCAACACAACAGCAGCTCGGTAGAGGCACAGGAAACGTATGCAAGGTAAGAGCTGATGTTGGCTGTCCTCACCTCCTGCTTCCTCAACCCAAGCTCAAGCCTTTCACTGCTCCTTTAAAAGCAGAGCTGTGGAGGATGGCGTTACCCGAGTCAAAGAGATACTCATCTCATTCATCTTGGCCATGAAAACAGAGACCCAAATTACTCCAGTCAGCGAAAATCTTTTGTATCTCTTCCAGAGTGGCCAGACACCAGGCTGAGCTGGTACATCATCATCCATGCACATCGGGGCCTGGTGACTAAGGCCTCTCAACCTGGGCCAATGGGTCTTTCCCTGACTGTCCTATAGAGCTGCAGATGAAAAGGTCTCCTCTACGCTTCTGTAACCGGTCAAAGGCAGGCACTAGCAGGTACCTTAATTTCCAGAACTCTGGTTTGTAAATTGCTACAATGGTAATTTAATTCTTTTGCTTGTGAATTGCTATGATGTGTGTGTGTGTGTGTGTGTGTGTGTGTGTGTGTGTGTGTGTGTGTGCGCGCGCGCGTATGTGTGTGTGCGCGTATGTGTGTGTGTGTGTACAAATTTAGTATATCAGAAACCTTTGTATACACCCCATTTCCTGCTTTAGATTTGTGAGTCCATGTGGTTAAATCATGGTCAAAAAAGGTTGTCAGATGCAATCCAGACCTTTAGCCATTAAACTTTTAACCAAGAGATCACTGGCCTTAGAAGGGACAGAAGAATCCCGCTAACAGCAAGGAGTGGGGCTGCAGTCACCAGGCTCTCACAGATGAGGAGTCTAACTGTAACCTGTCTAGATGACCAGTTGCTGTTGAGCCAATTCAGTTATTATTTAGCTAGAGTGTCAGTTTGGGGATTATAACATCAGCTCTCTATTTTTAATTACTTTCCTGCCATTTTATTTTCCTGGGTATCTGTTGGCTCTTTGACCTCGAGATTACTTCTTGTAATGGAATCATGACCATCTACTGGAATGTCAAAAGACAGATGTTTAAACAAGGTATCCCCAAGAACCATAGGCTACTTAACAAAACCCCCAACACCAGAAAGCACCATACAAGCTCCCAAATAAAGGAAGCAACCACGAGTCTTACCCAGCTGTCACCTATGAGCCACAACCATGACCAGCATGGCACAGGAACCCTAGGAATATGGTAGTGGCACACGTTCCTTGGCAGTAACCAACAGCTCTGTAATTAGATTTCGGGCCTGCTCAACAGGAAGGAAATCATGCTTGGTAGGAGAAAACCAGCTAACTACCCAGGGCTAGTGAAGTCATGGGTCTTGGAGGAGGAGCTTCAACCACCACTTTACTAAATATAATCTCTAACCACACTCTAAATGTTTATCCTTATCTCACAGATAAGTGTGGTCCTCACCCCTCAGCAAGGAAACGCTTTACAATAGTTGGAGACCAAAAATGAAACTGAAACCAATCAAAACACAGAGTTATGGAGCCCAGTCCTGACTGATAAATCTACAACATATCTCCTGCACCTAAGGCCCCGGGGGTCATTGTGGAAGAGGCGGCAGGAAGTGTAAGAGCCGGAGGAATGAAGGTTCACTGTGAGATTGTCTCCTGGGACTGCCAAGCTACACCCATAAAGCCTCGCCAACGTGACTGCCTCAACATGAGCTGAACAAGGACAACAGCAACGGACATGTTAATGTAAAGGGGGGAAGCTCAAGAGGCCTCAACCCTAGATAAAGAACACAAGCAACTGAGGGAACCGTCTTCCCCAGGGAAGAGCTCAGCAGTTGGTTCTCCAATACCAAAAGGTCAGCCCTGAAAACGTACCTACGAGTAACGCTATACAGACTGAGAAGGTTGTGTTCATGCATTGAGGTATGTATTATGTATTTAGGAGCACATGTGTCGGGGTGGGGTGGGGGTGTAAGACAATAATTCAAGAAAATCAGCCATGAATTTGAGAGAAAGCAAGAGGAAGTACATGAGAGAGGCTAGAGGGAGGAAAGGGAATGGGGGACCTTACGTGATTATATTATAATCTCCAAAAATAAAAAAATATTAATTTTTTAAAAGGTCGATGGTGCCTGAGGAACAACACCCAAGGGCTGACTTCTGGAATCCTCAGGCACATACCTATACAAGCACTTGTGCACACTCAATGTGTGTGTGTGTGTGTGAGTGTGAATATGTGTGTGTGTAAGAGAGAGAGAGAGAGAGAGAGAGAGAGAGAGAGAGAGAGAGAAAGGAAGGAAGGAAGGAAGGAAGGAAGGAAGGAAGGAAGGAAGGAAGGGATGAATTTTTTCCCATTGTCCCCTTCCGGCCCTTCCATCATTCGAATATCTCCCCTGTTCTGGGGAGAAGTTAAAGTGAGCAAAGGCTTCCATCTTTTCCTCTTAGCTTGACCATGTAACACAGCGTCCCATAGTCTACACAGCACCCCTTCTCAGTGAACCATGCTTTCAGCTCTCCATCACCAGGAAAGAAAACATGCAGGAGAAGTTGGAGACTCAAAAGTCAGGGTTAAGAGGGGGGGAAAAAAGGTGGGGGGGGGGACCTTTTCGCAGATCTAAATAGACCAGACCAATTTGTAATTCAAACCTTGTAGGTAAAATTCCCATTTTACAGAAGAGGAAACTGACAATAAGTTATTTCCAGCGCATAACCAAGAGATCTGATATTTAAACCCCTGTGATTCTGCAGCTCATGTGACATTACGCTTCAGGGCTTCTTCCTACCTCCCACCCTACCCTCCTGATGCCTCCCAGATGGTAGCATATTGCCACGGTCGCTTTTCTGACTCCCCAGAGGCCTTGAGAAGCAAATGGAGGTGACTTTGTATATTGGGACCTTCAAGGAGCAGATCACGGGAACCCCAAGCTTTCTGTTTCTCTCAAAATTCTCGCCTGGCTAGAGGCAGGCTGGCCTTCCATCCTGTTCTACTCTGAGGTGTATACGGAGCTCGCCTGGGCAGATTCTGTCTAAAGCTGAGGTCAGGCACTGGTGGGTGTAGTATTGACTTTTCTCTAGCTGTGATGAAACACCATGACCAAAAGCAACTTGGGGAAGAGTTTATTTTGGCTTGTAGGTCCAGAGGGATGAGAGTCCGTTATGGTGGGAGGCATGGTAGCAAGGGGCAGGCACGGTGTGGGAACGGGAAGCTGAGAGCTCGTGTCCGCAATCCTAGCCATGAAGCAGAGAGAGAGCAATGTGGAGGTGGGTCGAGGCTATGAAACCTCAAAACCAGCCCTCTGTTACATACTCCTTCTAGCGAGGCCGCACCTCCTAAACACCCCCCAAATGAGTCTACGGAGGGCATTTGTCATTCAAAACACCACAGCGGGCATGCTTAGCATTCAGAGGAAGGATAATATCGACATAACATAACCAGTGTCTCCATTAGCCTGGGTTCTCCATCTGCTTCCCCGCTGAATTTAACGTTGACAGTAACAGTGAGACTCCCTGTCTATCCCCACCATAGCAGAGACAGCCAAGTCACGGCCCTGGGTCTGTGAAATGCCTGCGACTGAAAACCTTCCACTCTAGAATGTTCTCGGCCTCTGTCAGCCTACTGTGCTCTCACATGAGGATTCGGAGACGGGCTGGATTTCATTCCCTTGGTTGAAAGAGTGATTTCCCTTGGGAGTTGCCCGACACCAGTCACGAGTCATAGTGTTGTGTCTGCTCCCCCTTCAGGACGCGAAGAAGCAAAAGATGTGTCTTTCTGAGCCCACGGGTCTTAACGGTTTTATTCAGACAAGCAGAGAAAAGTCATAAGGAACGATGAGGGCCGATGACAAGTACCAACTGAAATGCACGAGTCGGGGGTGCCGGAGGGACTTCGAAGGGAAGCGGCAGCCTCCGCTGCAGAGGACAGCTGGGAAATCAGAGTCCTGAAAGACGGCAGAGCTGCAGGACAGCACGTACAGTGAAGACAACGTTGAAGGAGCAGGGACATGGATGGAGGGGAACGGCCAGGGTAGGCTTAAAAATACCAAAACTCACGATTACAAAGCAACGTGAATTAATGGTCAACCGGGCCCAGTGGTGCAGGCCTGGAATCCTAGTTACTCAGAAGACTGAAGGAAGAGGATTGCAAGTCTAAAGCCAGCCTGGTCTCCAAAGTGAATCAAAGGCCAGCCTGGGCAACTTATTGAGGTGGTCTCAAATTAAAGAGCAAAAGCAGCACTGAGGGTGTAGATGGGTGGGGAAGGGCTTGCCTAACATGCACTGAGGCCCCGGCTGCAAGAATGTCTGTTAGATGATCTATTAGTTCAATAACAATGGCGGTCTTCACAGTCCAGGCATCTATGGCTCTGCCCCTTACCATGGGTGCCACACCTGCCTCACCGGGGCAAGGCCCTGAACTTGAACTCTAGCACTGGAAAAGCAACAAAAATAAAAACCAGACCCACAAGATACTAACCGTCCCCAACAGTTTGTCGATGACTACTACTAACAGAACTTCCTGGCTCTGCTCCGCCCAGGAGTGGCCCTCCAGAGGGAGCGTTGTCCTGGGAGCCTTCGTCCTCATCCTCGCCACAACAAGTGCCTTGATCCTCCTCTTCCTCTGGAGTCAGGACCAACCCGGACAGGGGTGCTAGCTCAAAGCCAGGGTGCAAACCGTACGTGGCATGATGACCGTGTGATCACGGCACCGGTGATCACCAACAATCAGGGTAAATTCTCCTCAGTTGCACTTCGTAATCTCATCTTTATTTTGAATTAGCTGGGAGGGTGAACTTCCCTTAGCCTGCTAATATTAGAATCGGCAGCTGTAAAAGCATCAACTGTTTAAAAAGTTGTGGGTGGGTCAGAAAAAAACAACATTATTTCATTTGTTCAGAAGAAACAAAATTAAAAGGAACATGGAGGTAGGAAGGGGAGCAGTTTTGGAAATATAAATGAATATATTTCTCATATTAAAAAGAAATCATGTTTGTGAAACTTTATATAAAGGAACATGAAACATAGTAGCTATTCTTCCAACTTCATTTACATTACTTCAACTTTATTTCCAGTTCTTTCAAGTACATCGACATTGTAATAGGTGAGGTACATATGAGATGTGTTCTGATTTGTCTATATTTTTTTCAGTTTATTTTACATAATCATGTCCAGCTATTGGCAATAGTTAACATATTTGTCTTTTTTTATTTTATTTTTTATGTGTGTGGGTGTTTTGCCTGCACGTATTCCTGTGCACCATTTGTGTGCACAGTGGCTGGAGAGGCCAGAAGAGGCCAACAGATTCCCCCTGGAACTAGAGGTACAGATGGTTATGAGCCACCACTGGGTGCTGGGAATTGAACTCAGGTCCTTTAGAAGAGCAGGCAATGCTCTTAACCAATGAGCCATCTCTCCAGACCCACGGCGGTCATTTTTACATCCCCACAATATCCTAACATGGTGACATCATTCCTGCCTACTTAGGAGTTGGAGCGTAAGTTCCAGAGTTTTACTGGTCACTGGGCTTTCTGTGGCTACAAACAGGTGTGGTATGGGTAGAAATCCAGCCACGTGAAACAGGATGGAGAAGGAGCCAGGGAGCCCTCGGATGAAAGGCTTTAGTGTACTTGCTGTAACTTCTGGTGGTGAGTGTTTCATTACCACCTGACCAAGGCCAGGGTAACAATCCACTGAAGAGTGCTGGATGAGCAGGGTGGTGGGCAGCGTCCACCACAGAATTACTGTGACACTCTGCTTTGCCTGTGGCACCACATTGGCTCTGTCAGCAGAGGAATGGGGTGAGGGTGGGGGGCAAGAAGCTATCTGTTTAATTTTACTCACTTCCTGTGACTTCCTGTCTACTTCCGGTGTGACTTCCTGTCTGCTTGCTGTTCCTGTGAGCGGGTCCCAGCAACACCTAGTCACTTGGCAGAAGCGGTTCCTACCAGGGGTCCTAAACCCAGTGTGCAACTTTGTAGCTTTTGCAGAAGCAACTCCACTATGGTGCTGCTCCTGACCCGGAGTTCTCCCCCACCAGCCCCAGCAGCTGCCACCTCCCAGGTTAGGGTTTCCCCCTTAATCATTTCTCCCTTGTTTCCTTTTTCAATTCTTGCCTACTCTCTGTTGAAACTGTTTTTTAGGATGTTTTCATCTTTTTTTCTACCAGCAGTTGTTTGGGTGGGAGCTCCACCTCAACCCCTGGCACCCTGGCATCCCTATACCCAAAGAGTCTGTAATGTTTGGAAGGAGTCGAGTGGAAGATCCACCTCAACTCCCTTCCCCATCTCTTTCCCTAAACCCGCCCCTTCAAAGCCCGCCAAACACAGCTCCTCCCCCAGAGAGGCTCAAGACCACTCCCACAGGGTATATAAGCTGCATCCACAAAAACAAACGCGTGCTTCTTCTGGCCTCACTTCCCCAGCTCCTCTCTGCGGGGGCCAGGGAATCGCCTGGGAGTACTTTACCCATTAAACCTGGGCTTTCCAATTCGGTCTGATTCAGTTTACTGCATCAGAGGAGAGACCTTCAGAAGGCCTAAAACTTATCAGTATTGATGCTGTGAATTGTTTTTGTTCTTTTGATGATTGTGCATTATTATTCTTGTTGTTGTTATTAGTTTTTCTTGGGTTTTCAAGACAGGTTTTCTGTGTATCCCTGGCTATCCCGGAACTCACTCTGTAGACCAGGCTGGCCTTGAACTCACTCTATAGATCAAGCTGGCCTCAAACTCAGAGATCTGCCTGCCTCTGCCTCCCTGGTGCTTTTTTTTTTTTTTAATGTGTATAAGAAGAATGTTTTGCCTGCATGTATTTCTGTGCACCATGTGTGTCCCTGATGCCCCTGGAGGTCAGAAGAAGGCCTCAGATATCCTGAGACTGAAGTTATAGACAGTTTTGAGCCACCATATAGGTGCTGGGAACCAAACCCAG